AAGTAATTAATCTCATAAAATATTTTATCTAAAAAAAATCTAATGACTTGTATTATGGTATTATGCTATATTTAACAAACTCTGCTATAGATACAGTATAATTTGTAAATTCATGAACCTTCTTTATTTCTATCGGCAACCTGGCACATCTTTTAACAATATAAAGCAATGTTAATTATCATCTTACGGATTAAAAAAAGAGGATCTAAATCACTATATTATCACCTTTCTATATTTTTGATATGGAAATGTGGGCGCAATATCAATATCATCTGCAGGAAACAACCATTCTAAAAATCTCCAAAATAAATAATCAACTGCCATTACTATACAAAATATTTTTCCAGCCCATATGCCACATCCGTAATATCTTTAGGAATTATAATTCAGAAAATATTTTAAATTTAATTAATTGCTAATCAACATAACCAACTAAACCTTTATAAAAACAAAAAATAAAAAAAACAGTGTATTTAATACCTTCGCAACCTTTCCATCAAAGGTGGTATTTTCAATTTCCATATTTTGTCATAAACCTTATTCAGATAAAGAAAGCTAAGAATTAATATCTTTATTTTTGTTGATTTAGATAGTAATATACAAATTCATTTTGAGAAAGTTTACCTTTTCGGTTCGCTCAGCGACATTACTCCAACTATACATTTCTTTAATCTCATCATGAAATTTTGTTGGTACAGCCTCTTTATGTCTGATCATTTTAATAGCTTTTGACATTGCATCAACAAGATCTGTTGCAAACCAGAAGAAATAGTTATAAAACTCCAATTGCCTTATATTTACCAAATGGTTTGTAAATAATGTTATTGTTATGATGAAAGAGCACCTTCTTCCTCAGGCTTAGAAAAAATAATCATGTGTCTAGGTAGAACTTCTGGCACACCACCAACTTTTGTGCTCACAACAAGTAACCTTTGATGTAGTAAAAATTTCTCTGTTATAAATTATTCTTTAAATATTTGTATTTTGAATTTACATGTTTTATTACATACCCACAACAAGCTGCTTCAACCATACCAATACAGAATGCTTCTGTTAAACTGGTGTTCAAAAAAATGTGACCTTTTGTCAAAACCTGAAATAAAGTAATGTATAATTGTAAACTATTTGATGCGACACATGAACAAAACCAAGTATGAATTTTGTTTCCCTTACACTATGTACTTCATGATGCATAACTGGACCGATAAATTCAACACGATCATGAAGCGAATTTTTTTCCCTCATTTGTTCTAAATCGATTCTCTTTGGTCCATCACCACCTTTTATAAGACTTTTCAGTAAAATTTTCTAAGAAATATCACAATAGTAAAATGATTCTGGCTTTACCAATTATAAATCGTACTTTAGGATCTGCTTTACATATTCTAGGTATAACAGCAACAAGTAAATCCATGCCCTTTCTATATACTAGTCGACTTGCTACAACGATAGTGACTTAAATAATTAATTGCATTAAAAAAAAAAAAAGCGATTATATAAGTAATGTAGTTATGATAATGAGCTACTAGAAACAGTTCTTTAATTAAAAAAGAAATACCGAACTAAAATTTTTATCTTGTGCACTGGGATTCGGCTTAAACTGCGATGTAACCACAGCATTCGGGATGACTGATACCATTTGAGGAGTCAAAGCTGCCCTTAAAACTGTATTTTCCTTACTGGTTTAAATATGCAATTCAAATTAATTCAAATTAATGACAAACGAACGATATAAATTAAAACCAATCATGCATTTAAAATCTTATTCACCAACCTCGTATGACTAACACATATAACATGATCGATATCACTAAGTGTAAATTTTAATACTTTATTCATCAGAATACTACTTGCATCCGCAAATCCAAATAAACTATGATCAGTAAAACAAGCTCTTATTCCCATCGTACGAGCATGTAATATTGCTTCGTGACATAACGATGAAAATGCTTGATGACCGTGGACAATATCAATTCTTTCACGAAGAACAATATTTCGAAAGATTGGAAAGAATCCATATATCGTTGGTAATGTTGCTTCTGAATAGATAACCATATGCGGTACATAATATACCTTTAAACCGTTGGTTAGATAACGAACGCCAGTGCGGTTTCCATAAGAATGGGTGATTATTATGACCTAAAAGGATAATTGTTAATTGAATTCGAGTAGGAAAGGTGATTTCATTATTAGTATCGCACCTTGTGTCCACGATGGGTTAACATAAGTGATAATTGATATAAATGACTTTCTACTCCACCCATGTTTGGATAGAAGAAGTCTGATACCATTCTTTTAAATATAAGAGAATCATTTATTAACGTGTTTTATAAACTTATTTCTTGAATAATTCATAAAAAAACTCACGCAATGTTATACATTATTTTCGATGATACTCTTTATAATGGAAGGATGGAAGTATTTCGGTTTCATTACACGGCATGTCTTTTATAGTAACATTGCGATAGTGAGTGATGGTCACATGATGATCGTCATGCAAAATCGAAGATAATTAATTGAACCCAATTAATTGATTGGTGGCGCAGCCACAATTAATCAATTAATTGCAATTTTTACACCGATTGTAAAATATGCAATAATGAGATATTCGTTTAGTGTAATAATAAGATATTCGTTAGTGTAATAAGATATTCGCTCAGTATATTTGCTAATCTTGACGTCAAAAATTGTAGTTTAATAAAATAACTTGTACGTAATTACATATAGAAATTAATCAAGTGATTTCTTTTTTTTAATTAATTGCAAACTGCAATATTAATTTACATTCTCTTTCGAAAACATATCAAAACATTCTTAGAGTTTCTATTTTTAAACTGGTTTCAATGAGTGCAACAGTTTCGAACAAATGCTGCATAGAGGTTTTTTTTAAACCCACAAATGACGGCAAGAATCAGTGTAATTTATGTCATTCTGGATCTATGACCATGAAAGAGCATGTTGCAAAGAAACGAACATTATTCCTCCAACCTCAAATGCTGTGAAACGTCTATTTTCAGTAGTCAAATATTATTATACAGATAAAGTCTCTTGATCCGCATACTTTAGAAAACCCACTGTTGTTAAGAATGAACTACAAAATTTGGTCGATCCAAGATGTTAACCAAATTAAGCATTAAGGTTTCTATACCAAAACTGATATACCTATTATCATAGTTCTGCATTTGAATATGATCATCTCTTTTACATGCATAAAATATAAAGAACATTTTTTTTTAGCATTAGTTAATATGTATTAGAACATTTTAAATTCTAAATATCATAGCAATACGTAGCAAAATTTACAGCAAAGTAAAAAATTGCAATTAATTGCAATTAATTGCAATTTAATTGATTACAATTATTTTTGTGTAACAATTATGATTAATGATAATTGTAATAAAATTTAATTGCAATTAATTTTTCAGTACCTCTGAACGATAATATTAATAGTGAAACAAAATCGAAATTTTATTTGCTTTAACTAAACTAGGTTTTTGCTATTAGATGTTTTCAAGTTGTATATAGTAGATAAAGTTTTTTTTTAATAAAAATTTTTTAATGCTTTGTTTAGTATATAATTATAAAATTGGTTATTTTAATACAATTTTAGTATTTACTACCAGTGACAACACCACCACTTCTTATATATTGGCAGCTGTTAAAAATCAAAAAAGACCTCTGCTTGCTTGAGATAAAACAATAAATTAATAAATTGCTATTGTTTTTATCAAAATTTAAGGCTAGAATGCAATTTTAAACCAAGGTTAAAGTTAAATATAAAGATTCAAATTTTAGTTAGGGTTAGATTTTTAGGGTTCTGAACATTTTTACTTAATACTCCTGATGTGAGTTAGCTAGTAAGTTTTGAGATATGAGGGTGGGTCAATAGAAATCAAGCAAATTGTTTTTATTAAATTTTTTTTAAAACTTTATATATTAATAACTTAAACAAAACTTGATCAAATTTAATAAAAAAATTTTTAAACAAATTATATAAGTTTGTAGAATTTATTTAAAAAAATTTTTATTAAATTTAATTAAGTTTTTTTTGTTGAGTTATTATTGTTTAAAGTTTAAAACCAATTTATTTAGAAAAAATTTGCT